GGCCGCGGCCTCACCGGGGCCTCACCGGGGCCTCTCCGGGGCCTCACCGGGGCCTCTCGGGGGCGGCGGCACCGGGGCTGCTCCGGGACCCCGGCACCGCCAGCCCGGCGGCCGCGCCCGGGATCCATCCCCGATCCATCCCCGATCCATCCCGGCTCCATCCCGGATCCCCGATCCATCCCTGCATCCCGGATCCATCCCGGATCCCTCCCCGATCCATCCCCGAATCCCCGCTCCATCCCCGATCCCGAATCCCTCCCGGATCCATTCCCGGCATCCATCCCTGCATCCCCGCTCCACCTCGATCCATCCCCGCATCCCGGCCCCATCCCCGGATCCATCCCCGGCTCCATCCCCGGATCCATCCCCGGATCCATCCCGGATCCTTCCCGCTCCATCCCCGGATCCCGAATCCCTCCCCGATCCATTCCCGGATCCATCCCCGGATCCCGGCCCCATCCCCGGCCCTATCCCAGACCCATCCCCGATCCCTCCCGGCCCCATCCCGGGATCCATCCCCAATCCCGGCTCCATCCCGGCCCCATTCCCAATCCCGGATCCATTCCCGGTTCCCATCCCCCCTCCCGGTGGCCTGGGCCATGCTGGGATGTACTGGGAGGTGCTGGGAGGTGGTGGGAAGCACTGGGATGTACTGGGATGTACTGGGCCATACTGGGAGGCGCTGGGATGTACTGGGAGGTGCTGGGAGGCACTGGGGGGTACTGGGATGTACTGGGATGTACTGGGAGGTGCTGGGAGGTGGTGGGAAGCACTGGGATGTACTGGGATGTACTGGGCCATACTGGGAGGCGCTGGGATGTACTGGGAGGTGCTGGGAGGCACTGGGATGTACTGGGATGTACTAGGGGGTACTGGGATGTACTGGGAGCTGCTGGGATCTACTGGGATGTACTGGCAGGTACTGGAATGTACTGGGAAGTGGTGGGCCTGCACTGGGCCATACTGGGAGGCACTGGGATGTACTGGGTCTGTGTTGGCCTGCACTGGGCCATACTGGGATGTATTGGGTCTGCACTGGCCTGTACTGGGCCATACTGGTCTGTGCTGGGTTGTGCTGGGCCGTGCTGGGCTGTACTGGGCTGTACTGGACCATACTGGGCTGTGCTGGGCCGTGCTGAGTTATATTGGGCTATGCTGGGATGTACTCAGATGTACTGGGTTATACTGGGCCATACTGGTCTGTACTGGTCCGTGCTGGGCTGTGCTGGAATGTACTCAGTTGTACTGGGTTATACTGGACCGTACTGGTCTGTACTGGGCTGTGCTGGGCTATACTGGTCTGTACTGATCCATGCTGGGCCGTACTGGGCCGTGCTGGGCCATACTGATCTGTACTGGGCCATACTGGGCCGTGCTGGGCTGTACTGGGCCGTACTGGGCTATACTGGTCTGTACTGAGCCATGCTGGGCTGTACTGGTCTGTACTGGGCCGTGCTGGGCCATACTGGGCCGTGCTGGGCCGTACTCGTCTATACTGGGCGGGTTATACTGGACCGTACTGGTCTGTACTGGGCTGTGCTGGGCTATACTGGTCTGTACTGATCCATGCTGGGCCGTACTGGGCCGTGCTGGGCCATACTGGTCTGTACTGGGCCGTGCTGGGCTGTACTGGGCCATGCTGGGCTGTACTGGGCCGTGCTGGGCTGTACTGGGCTATACTGGTCTGTACTGAGCCATGCTGGGCTGTACTGGTCTGTACTGGGCCGTGCTGGGCCATACTGGGCTGTGCTGGGCCGTACTCGTCTATACTGGGCTGTGCTGGGATGTACTGGGCTGAGCAGTGTCTGTACTGGTCCATACTAGTCCGTTCTGGCCTGTACTGGTCCGTACTGGCCTGTACTGGCCTGTTCAGATCCATACTGGCCCATACTGGTCCGTACTGGTCCATACTGGTCTGTACTGCTCCGTACTGGTCTATACTGGTTCATACTGGTCCGTGCTGGTCTATACTGGTCTGTACTGGTCGATACTGGTCCGTACTGGTCTATACTGGTTCATACTGGTCCGGGCTGGTCTATACTGGTCTGTACTGGTCGATACTGGTCCGTACTGGTCTATACTGGTCCATGCTGGTCCATGCTGGTCCATACTGGGCTGTCCCTGTCCCCGCAGGCCCCACGGCGACGCCCGGACAGGACCAGCATGGAGCCCTGAGAGGAGGTACTGGGACAACTGGGAGAACTGGGAGACCTGGGACAGCTGGGATCTACCTGGGATCTAACTGGGACCACTGGGATCTAACTGGGATACTGGGATCACTGGGATAACTGGGATCCCACTGGGCTGTACTGGGATCTGCTGGGCCCTGCTGGGATCCTCTGGGATCTCGTGGGCTCTTCCAGGTTCTCCTGGGGTCCTCTGGGCTGTGCTGGGCCCTGCTGGGCTGTACTGGGCTGTACTGGGATCTGCTGGGATCCTCAGGGATCTGCTGGGCTCTCCTGGGCCCTGCTGGCATCTACCAGGCTCTCCTGGGATGTGTTGGGCCCTGCTGGGCCGTGCTGGGA